TATTTAAAGATTAAAAAAATGAGAATGTCCAGAACTAGTTCAGGCATTAGTACTTTTACCTAAAAGAAGGAAAGCAAACTGAATAATCGCTTTTCTTAGCAGTAAAAAATTGTTCTGTGCGTACGATTTAGGAGCCTATTCCGTAGCTTTTAACAACGGTATCTGTTATGTCATGACCAAACTTTTCTACCATATATTATACTTGCGCAACGACAGCGTAACGACGACGACGTCATTGTTGAGAATGAACTCTACTTAAAAAATTATGGCGCGTGCCGAAATCAAGCGCATATTTTCCAAATCAATCGTATCAAGACGTACCGTTAATCGCCGGTTGACTTATTGTGACAAGAATGATGGTTTCATACGGTCCGCTATTTCACGCCTGCGGGAGATCTGTCTTGATCAGTACTGCTACTCTTCTCCGTCTTCCTCTCCTTCGCTGGCTCACCGGCCGCCGCTTAACTCGCAGTGATTTGCGTGACGACCGTTTCGGAGCGTTCCTCGGGAATGAATTATCCCGATAATTTCTACGATTGAGTCATCTCGTAGCTCGGCTCAAACGAGATGCAGATTAATCGCGAGTCAGGTCGCAAATTGTGGAATAATTGCTCCACATTTACGATCCTCCCATCTCGCTGTGAGCCACACTCTCGACATCGAGTGATGCAACACGTGCAAAGAAAAATGAAAAGAGGACAACTTGCATTCGCGACTGCCGAAGTTGATCTCTGCTCAATTTCGGCAATTTTTTTTTTTCAAGCGTGACAATCTCAAGAAAGAGGATAGGCTTCGTGGGTCTCGAGCGATCGAAATTTCGTCGCGGGATATCGGCAAGAATAGAGGTAGGGCGAATTAGCATTTCACAAGTTGGCGAATTTATTTGTGGATTTCTGAAGTGGAACTCTTCTCCCACTGGTACAATACGATTTGCAGAAAGCACACATGAAGATTCATCGCGCAGCGCATATAAAGTCTCATCTCTCTTGGAGAGACAAAGAACGTAAAACCACCTCACCGGGCTCGCGACCGCGTATGCCTCGGTTGTGTAAAGCTAGCGATACATATGCATGTAGATATCGAGAGATACACGTTTATCGTAGTGATAATAATAATAATATAATAATAACATAATAATTTCAATATAATAAAAATAACATTATTATATCGCTCCTATGATACCGTACAACGGAAATGCAGCTCTACACTCGTGAGGCCTAACGGCGGCTACGAATACGTACTGACTCTAAGCGCTATCTCGATACAACGTTCGTAAAATACGAATTAATAATAATAATTAATAATAATAATAATAATAATAATATTAGGGACTCAGCGCGTTTTAAGCTATTTACAAAGTATGACCGCGGTCTCGTTCCACTTGAAGATAAATCAATATATACGTGGTTTAGAAAGGAAGGTAAAGTCCTGTTCGCGCTCCCGAAGCTATCGTGGCTTTTTTTCGTCGCGGATCTTTTTTAGGGTCGATTCTCTTCTTTTTTCTTTCTTCACACGGGGGCTAGCTAAAAGGCAGCTCTCGATGCCCTCGAGACGCCGTAGCAAGAACACACATCCACTACAAATCGCGTTAACGTCGTTTTAAAAGTTGCACTCTCGGCACTTTTCTCTCTCTCCCGCGTCTCACGGCGAAACGTATCTAGCGGTGTCGTCGTCGTCGTCGTCGTCGCGCGAAAGAGATATATTAGGACCAGTCACGCGAATTTCCGAACCCTCGTTAACGTTACGTTGGCCGACACGCTTTCTCCCACTCGCCTCAAATACACATACACACACATATACACACACACAGTTTGGAACAGCGCCGCAAGAAAATATATTAAATTTAATACATACACATACACAAGGAAGTACGTTCCTCATACATTGTATTCGCGATCCGGACAGTCGGACGTGCATCCGAGCTGAGTAGCGATTACAACGGAACCCGAGCAATCCCAGACAATACACGATATTCTATGGATATCCCATTAGAACATTATCGTTCTCTGGGTATCTGTAGGATGTCCTTTAGAGATTTATGTTATTGGGAATAATACAGTATTCTTGAAATCTTAAGGAGACCGATTCTTTGCTCTTCGCGTGTTGTATCCGACACGTGGCACCAATGTGTAAGTATAAAATGTGTGTGCATGTATGACGTAGACATTAGAGAAGAACTTAGAAATGTAACGTACGAGAAGCAGAGAAACCGTGTAAAACGTCTTTAAAGTGCAAGAGCACAAGAATTTGTGCGACCCGTGTGATCGCGACATAGTTCGCGGAACGCAAGACGCATTAACGCGATCGACGCAATTCGCAAAGTTGTACAAACGTTTAATTTTATGCCTCGAAAACACGTTTTACGAGTATCTCATATTTCTATCTTCTCTTCTGCGCAAGAACCCAGGGTATCGTCTCTCTTTCACTTTCTCTCTCTCTCTCTCTCTCTCTCTCTTCCTCTTTTCGATGTTCATATGAACTCGACGCATTCGCGAGCGCTACGATTGCACTCGCGCACTCGCACACGCCACGCGCTTTCCCATTTCGATATTCGCATTTAGCGTCTCGCTTGCAAAAGCAAGAGAGAAACAGCACCACTACCACCCACGCTATATTACCTCACGTTCGCAACGCGCGCCACGCTATTGCCGGTGATTTCGACGCGAATACGTTCGATTCGATCGGTTCGCGCCGAATGCTCCACCGTCCACATACGTTTTTTTTACCTACTTATCTTTTTCGACGCGATACATTACCACTCGACCGCCGTTTGCGCGTTCTCTCCGTTACGAACAAAAGGAAACCCGACAGAATAACATTAAAGGTGAATAAAAAAAACAGAGAGGGAGAGAAAGAGAGAACAACGAGAGAAAGAGTGAGAGAGGGGGAGAGGGAGAGAGAGAGAGAGAGAGAGAGACACGACCGACGCTCGGGGAGAGAATAACGGTCGATCTTTATTCCACATCACCGGGTCGCGCCTCGACCGGAATCGAAGAGACACTTTGCCGAGGGTTCACCCACTGGAAACCGATCTCAGCTGACTGGTATTTGCGTCAGCGATACCACCGCGGACCCACCTTGTACCACGTGGCTCAAGGTTGTCCGGTTGTGTCTTCGCGACAGTCTCTCTCTCTCTCTCTCTCTCTCTCCCTCTCTCTGTCTGTCTGTCTGTCTGTCTGTCTCTTTCTCCCTCCCTCTCTCCCTGTCGCGAGGGGACTCGATTTTGCCACGACGGACCGCGATCCCCAAGAGCACGCGACTCCGATTCGCGGTGATGCCGCGAAATTATATGGATTTTCTGAAGGGGAAGCCGAGTAGCCGTGCGCGGTTGATTGCCAGGTGGTAGGTCAGGAAGACGTCGCTCCGGGCCTGGGCGTGGTCCACCGGTAGCACGCGGAGAAGCGGCGAACAGCGCATCCACTGGGGCAGCGTTCCCGTAGAAGCTAGTAGGTTATTACGTAGTCCAATTTAGGACGTTAGCCCGAGGAGCCTGCGAGATACAACGCCGCGCGACGATAGCTTCCGTTATGAAAACGCGGAGGAAAGTGCTGGTGTATGTGAACCTGCCGCTCCTTCCGCCGTCGCGACGTCGTCGATCCTCTTCTTGTCGAAGTCCTTCTCGAGTCCTCTTCGCTCGTCGACAAGTTCGTGTGTATGTGTGTGTGTGAAAGGGGCGAGACCTGGATCCGTCCAGCGTCGTCTGAGGGTGCTTTGTGGAAACGACAGAAATTTGATTACGGGGACGGACAGTCGTGTCTACCTTTCTTTCGCGTGTATATTTCGCGACAATATCGCCACCCATCTGAGCACATCGCTACGCCAAATGGCGTGTTTCACGATTGCTCCGAGCACCACCGCGCTCGTCCGCGTGTTCCACGAGAATCCCGCGAGCCTGTGCCGGGAATCCCAGGCGGATGACGCGGAAAGTCGAGCGGAATCGCGGCGGTCACCCGCCGCGCCGTCGTACCCAAGACAGCTTCCATCGTTTCTGGTTCTGCAACGGCGACGCTTCGTGATGGTTGTAGTGGTGGTGGTGGTGGTGGTGGTGGTGGTGGTGGTGGTGATGGTGGTGATGGTGGTGGTGGTTGG